GAAGAATGGCATTTGAAGGAAGAGAAAGAAGTAAGCCCTCATTGGAAAGAGAAACTTTATTGACAAGTCTATAATATATCTGTTACCCTCATTCTGCTAAACTCTCAGAAATAAAGGTACTGAACTGTCTCTGGGTCAGTGCCCCTCTTGTCACTGGGATGGGACCCTCAGTGGTCCATCTCAGTACCTTTAGTCAGGGAACATAACTGAACCATAATCCACTGAATGATATGTTCTAAGCTGTACTGACTCCACACACCCCGTCTCATCTCCAGGCTTTTATTTTACTGTTCTGTTTAAAACATTCGGTTATGAAAAGGTACAAATACGAACTTTTCACCTGGAAAAACTTATTTAAGGTTCACAATCAGACCTTAAAACCACTGTTGGACCTTTGAGGGTGTATTTACATTGTTAGTATCTTAAAGGGCGAGAAATGTACCTGGACAGAACCTTTATTTCAAAAGTAGAGAACATGCTGAAGAGCCAATCAAAAAACAGTGGTTAATGTAATGGTGACCAGATGCCTCAGTGCTGCGGGAGGGTAGAGCCACAGAGATGGCATCAGGAAGCCTGATGGAATTTTGGGACTTCTCAAAGTGTGTCTGATCTCCTGCAGCACATAGTCGAGTCAAAGTTTATTATTTATATAGCGCTTTTTACAACAGGTGTTGTGGCACCAGTGGCAAGGAAAATCTCCCTAAGAGCAAGAGGAATAAACCTTGAGAGGAACCAAGACTCAAAAGGGGAACCCCTCCCCTTCTGGTCGACACCAGATAGCAAACAGTGTTAGTATAAAGTATTAGAATACAAAAAGGGAAAGACAGGCAGAGCAGTGGTTAATTAGATAGTTTGAGTTTATGCAGCAGCAGCATCAGGAGGGTCAGGTCATGAAGGTGCAGTTTGCACATTGTTGTACAGGGTGAAGCTCAATGGTGGTCAAAACGGTCCAGAAGGCTGAAATGGTCCAGAAGGCTGGCCAGCAGTGGCATCTGATCAAGGCAGAAGAAGCAACAGCATCAGACCCACAGGATGGGCAGCTGTTCAACACGGCAAAGAAAAGGAAACAGAGAGTCAGTTTTGTACAGAGAGACTGACCACAGATTACAGGGTTAACAGAGCAGCAGAGACTCCGGCAGGTCTAGATATTACAGCCTCACTAAGAGGGAGAAACCAGAAAGGTAACAGAGTCACGAGGCTCCCTGAGATGTCGGCGCCCCTCCACTCCACTGTCAGCAAACCTGAGTGAGTGCGTGAGCAGCGGGACGACAGCACCAGCACTCCCAGTTTACCATAATACTCCATGACTGTGAACCCCAGATCTGCACCTTTTATCTAGCAGGGAAAACTAATTACCAACGGCTCCACTAAACAAGTGGGTTTTAGTCTAGACTTAAAGACTGAGGCTGAGGCTGAGTCTGAGTCCCGAACACTGACTGGAAGATTATTCCAAAGCTGGGGGGCTTTGTATGCGAAGCTCTGCCCCCTGATGTAGCTTTATTAATACAGCTTTGGTCTTAAAGATCTGGCAGAGGAAGCAAACACCCACAAATCTTGATGCCCTAATCATTACCATCTTAAAAATCTGTGTGTTTTTCCTGGCCTGGAAACAAAAGAGCAAAAAAACACTTTTTCATAAATCTGTTAATTTATTAATCATATATACATTGTAATGATTCATCCAAGCAACAAACAACCGATTCATTTTCTTCTTCGAACATTGTGAAGAATTTAATGTAAGTTTTTAATTAATATTAATATTAGCTTAGCAAAGCTGGCCAACAGCAAGGGAGGCAAATCTGACTTACAGTTGAACCCAAAACGGACCTCTTAATTAAATAAAACAGGCGAAAGCAGCGAACGTCACCAGCCGAAGCTGAATCTGAAGCTGAGCTGCACAGCTGACATCGATAGATAATTTGTGCAGTTTGGAGCAGAAAACACAGAAAAATAAGCCTTAGCCTTGAATCTCTTCACAGGCGCAACAATACTGCAAGTCTAGTTTCATTCATTTAATTTCCTGGAGTACAGACGGTGAAGACCGAGCTCCTGGAGTAGAGCCGGTGAGGACCGAGCTCCCGGAGTACAGACGGTGAAGTACAGACGGTGAAGACCGAGCTCCCGGAGTACAGACGATGAAGACCGAGCTCCCGGAGTACAGACGGTGAAGACCGAGCTCCCGGAGTACAGACGGTGAAGACCGAGCTCCCGGAGTACAGACGGTGAAGACTGAGCTCCTGGAGTACAGACGGTGAAGACCGAGCTCCCGGAGCACAGACGGTGAAGACCGAGCTCCTGGAGTACGGCCGGTGAAGACTGAGCTCCTGGTGTACGGGCGGTGAAGACCGAGCTCCCGGAGCACAGACGATGAAGACCGAGCTCCCGGAGTACAGACGGTGAAGACCGAGCTCCCGGAGCACAGACGGTGAAGACCGAGCTCCCGGAGCACAGACGGTGAAGACCGAGCTCCTGGAGTACGGGCGGTGAAGACTGAGCTCCTGGTGTACGGGCGGTGAAGACTGAGCTCCTGGTGTACGGCCGGTGAAGACTGAGCTCCTGGTGTACGGGCGGTGAAGACTCCTGGAGTACAGACAGTAAAGACTGTCGAAAGTACCGGGTTACGCTAGGTTTTGTTTGATGTTGAAAGACCAAGTAAAAATAGAGATAATATTAATTAGTTATAAGAATCACATTTATCTGTTCATAAAAGTAAGCTGAATGTGACGGAGCTGACGTTGCACTCATCATTTATCTTATATCTTGTCATATAAAGAAACAGAAAAAATGTCTGAATCATTTTTTAGATCTGATTTTGTTTTGTGTGTTTTTGGGTCCAGTATGTTGATACTGTCAGCCAGAAAGAAATAAAATTGTCAGATCATGTGGGAGAAGTTGTGCTGGAAAACTGGCAGAGTGAAAATTTTTCATGTGGTAAATAAAGACAAAATCAAAATTATTCAAAAACTCACAAGGGTCAGTATTAGTAGTAACACTAGCGCAGAGCAGACATAATTACGTCCAGCGTCCGTCCATCCATCTTTCCAGACCTCATCTCCTCCTTTCATCCTTTTAATTAATTAAAATAAATTACAGTTCCATCAATTTAACACAGTTACCATGGAGACCTGAATACAATAGACACTTTTAATAGCAACCCATAAAAAGATATTTACTGCATCTGCAACCATCAGTCTATCATCAGCAATCCCCCCTCCCCTCTCTCTCTCTCTCTCTCTCTCTCTCTCTCTCTCTCTCTCTCTATCTGTCCCATCTCTCTCTCTCTCTCTCTCTCTCTATCTGTCCCATCTCTCTCTCTCTCTCTCTCTCTCTATCTGTCCCCTCTCTCTCTCTATCTGTCTGTCTCTCTCTCTCTCTCTCTCTCTCTCTATCTGTCCCATCTCTCTCTATCTGTCTGTCTCTCTCTCTCTCTCTATAATTCATTTGGAGGCTTTACAGCTGGACTGTGAAGCGTAACAAACGAATTTATGTGACTTCTAGGAACCATGAAACACCTTAAAGCACCGAAAATCTGCTCATATGATTGGGAGTGAATGGAGGACGACACACCGCTTCACTGAAACATATATAAATGTGCTTTAAATGGGTGATTAGGTGAGGAGGAGGTTTGCAGAGCGGTGTGGCTGTTCTAGGGGTTTCCGACAGCAGCGTCTGTCGCGCTGAATACGTTTCACGGTCACTGTGTTAAAGATTATTATTGTGTTCTTTGTTTGCTGTTCACATAAAACCAGGGTGCTGGAGCTCGGGCCGAGTCCTGGACCTCTTCCTGATCCTGGAGCTTCTCCTTTTGTGCTGATTTGCTGTTCTGAGTGCTCTGCTCTTCTAACTGGTCTCATTATTTATTAATTCCTTTATTGTTTTCCTGGCTAATTAATTCCTCTCCCTCTCAGGGTTCTCCATGCTGCAGGCGATAATGGAGTCCGCAGTAGCGAATAACTGGCAGGTCACGGCTCGATCTGTGGGGAACATCGTTGATCCTCTGGAGTTCCGCAGGATCATAGAGGAGATGGACCGCAGGCAGGAGAAGCGCTTTCTGATTGATTGTGAGGTGGAGCGCATCAACGCTATACTGGAACAGGTATATACTGTTTAAGCCAGGGCTGCATCCATACCGTTCTTCAGACCGAGTACATATTTTAGTACTCTGAGTCTGAGTCTGATACTGAGTCTGATACCACACTGAGTATCTACTCAGAATGAAGTATCTGTCAGTGTAAATGAGTGTAATGAACCGTAACAGTTACATCATTAAATCTATCTGATTTTAATGAAGTGCGTTAGCTAGCTATGCTACACTAGTGATCTCTGATCGAGCAGCGCTGCAGTGGAGAAGAGTGGGTTTTGTTCCCTAAAGTAGGTTTCATAGTTTTGATCCTCATCTGTCTCTTTCAGCAGCAGTACAGCGACAGCAGGAATCACATCCGAGGCTGACGCACCCGAGGAGCTCACGCTTCCAGTTTTCCGTCTTATTGGAGTCGTTTGATTGGCTGGTTGAGCTGTAGCTGAATGTCCTCTAAAGCCGGACAGACACTGTGTGACGTTAGAGATCTTGTTCTTTGGTGACTCTCACTGTCCGTTAGAATAGACCATCGTGTTCAGACAAAGCTACGATTTATAAACTCACACTGTACGAAACGCTCCGTCTGACTGACCTGCTACGGGAAACGCAGCCTCTACAGACGCTCTGAGGAATTATTAGTCCCCAGATAGTCCAGGTCAGTCCGGTCTTGACCATGAAGGGCTGCAGATTTTCAACCCAGCAAAGCAGGAGAAAACCACTCATTTGAAGAGAGACCAGTTAATGAATCTCTTAACTGTCACCCCATTTTAGCCTGAAACAGCATACCCAAACTGAAGGGGGCGCTGTTTACGCGTACTTTGTTCTACAGTGATGATCTCGGTCTCACTTGAAAGGAAACTCCCTCAGTCAGAATAACTGTCTGAGTTACTGACTCAGAGTCTAGAATGGAGGAGTTTATTTC